ATAAATAAAGCATTTAAATTGGATTGGAAAATATGGATAAAATAACTAAAAAGTTGGTAAATGGATAGCAACATGGAAAAGCTAAATCTTAAATAATGTTGGAGGATTTTACTCTGATGATGGAAAAAAGCAAGGATAATGGAAAGAAATAACTAAGAATTATTGTATGTAAATTAATATAATGAATATTAAGGAAAGCTTAGATATATGAAATTGGAGAATATTTTAACAACAAAAGATAAGGATATTGGAAGTACTATTATGAGAATCAAGAAATGTATTGAAGAATAAGTTATTGATAGCGGTGGTGGATAATATAATTAATAAGGTGAAAGAAATGGAAAATGGATTGAAGCAAGTGATGGATTTGGATAATTTTCGTAAATTGTTTATATTGGTGAATATAAAAACGGGAAAAAAATTTCTATTTGGGATATTTTATATAGAATATATGGAAAGGAACATTTTAAATCGATGTATAAATTAATTTGATAATTTTTTAGTGGTTTTGGCTCTTATGATGAAGGTGGTAATGGTAATAAAATTGGGAAGTGGATTGAGTCAAGCGATGAGTTTAAGTGGGGATAGGAAGTCACTTATCATGGTTTATATAAAAATGGTAAGAAGGTTGGCAGATGGGATATTTGTTATAATAAGGTGGATAGAGATAATAAATGCGAATTGATGTAAAATTGTGTAAATGTAGATTTGATTTAGTGGCGGTGGATCATACCATGAAGGAGGTAATGGCACTAAAATTGGAAAGTGGATTGAGTTAAATGATGGGTTTGGGCAGAGATCCTAAGTTATTTATAATGGTTTATATAAAAATGGTAAGAAAGTTGGTAGGTGGGATATTTATTATAATAAGGAGGATGAAGATAATCAATATTAATTGATGTAAATTATTAAGTATATGGTATTTTAGTGGTGGTGGATTATATGATGAAAGTGGCCGAGAAATAAAAATTGGGTAATGGATTGAATTGCGCGATGGGTTTTGGTGGGATTCATAAATTACTTATAAAGGTGAATATTAGTTAATTTACTCATTAACCTTAAATTTATTAATTAGATTTGGCTTTAAAATCTAAAATTCTGAATAATACATGGTAACTTTATTAAAAAGCAAAAAATTTTCAAGTAATTTATTATTACAACAAAATGCCACATACTACAAAAGAAATATGATATTTACTATTGAACCAATTTTAGCAAGAACAGAACCTAACGTAGGCATACTCACTTCGTTAATAATAGATATATTATCGATTCTAAAACGAAATGTACTTGAAATATTCAAATTTAAGTAATTTAAGCCATATATTAAATTGCCTGAGGTATAAATCTAATATCAGCTTTTTAATTATTTATTTCATAATTATTTAGAAATTATTAACTATTTTCATTCCTAAATAAAATACCATCATCAATTATAGTTTCTTGTTATTTTAACATCACTTATGTAAAAATGGGTCTTTTAGGATCAAATGCTTAATAATTTTTTTTTACAATATTTCTAACTTATTATTTTGATAATTTCATTGGTTTAATCCAATTTTTATATCTAACTGATAAATAGATATATATTCTTAAATTGTATTATCATCAGCACAATAACCATCATCTAATAAATAATCATTTTAACAAGAAGCCAATACCAATAAATGTTCTTACATTTCTTCTGTATGTTCTTTTTGCCTCCATTATTAAGATCAAAGTACCGTTATTCAAAAATATTGAAAGCAATGGCTTATCTTTAATCACACCATTTCTTAAAGTCAATAATAATGGAGTTATTATATTGTTCTAATTTCAAAAAGGATCAGCAAATGAAGTAAAATCCTATAACAATAAGAAAATTGAGGATTCAGACCATTTAAATTCAACATATCCCGTTGTTTATTTTTTAGTGTTAATATTAGATGGCATATTATTTTTAGTCCACAAAACTAATATACATAAAGCATTTGCAAGACTTAAGCTGCCTAAAACAACTGATATTAATCCTCCTACTCTACTTTAGAAATTTGATCCTTTATTAATTGTGAGGAGTGCCATTTAAACTCCAAATATATCAACTTTTTCAATCAATTCAAAAAATTTATTCAAAATAATTAAATATGAAATTATACAGAAAGTGAAAATAAATTATAAACTACCTTGGAATTAGATGAATAGTATTTAAATTAATGCAGCAAAATATTTAAAGGAGATTTTTTAATTTTTTTAAATAATATTTTGAAATAAAGATGAAATTTATAAAGTAATAAATATCTTTAGCTAGACTAAAAGATTTAAATGTAAATAAAAATGTGGATATAATATATTTAAAATTTTAAATTGAAAAATGATTTATTAAAAGAAAACTATTGAAAACAAGAATATTATATTAATTAATTGTAATAATAAACTCATTGAATTAATTATTTTAATTATAAGAAAATTTGATAATTATAAGAAACTTAGGAAAATTAGATAATTTGAGTATCCTTATTC